GCATCTCGAATGATATCGAACAATTTACAGGCTCTTTTCGGCGAAAAATATTTTTTTCTTTTCGAGTCTTTTAGTTCTATCACTAGTGGAAATCCAAGAATCGCTTTGTAGAAGTTTTTACTTTTAGCTACATTGGCTACTTAGTGACTTGTAATAAATATGCATGAGCACAGAACCATTGTTTTATAAAGAAAATGATAATATAATATCTGCATAAGGTTTAAAGGCTTGAATAATTAACTGAGCTGAATTTTTAAGGTATAATATCACACAGAAGTGTAGCAGTTCAGGTCGCCACGCTTAATAAAAGTAGCCGTCATGTTAGATTCGTCTAAATATTTTTCTCACGAACAATAGCCAAAAAGCACTCTTTTATTACCTCTCAGGATAGACAACTGAGACTTTGGACAGGACATTATGATAACCAGTTTAACTTGCCTAGAGCTATACTGAACATGCCCAGTAAATGACACGCACCTGAATGGAATGTTGACGTTGGCCCTTCATCTGTAACTGTGGATACAAGGTTGTCTATAATATGAAACCAGGCAAACCAGTGGGCCCAATGGAATAACTTCAAAGGTCCTTAAGCATGATGGTTATAAGCTGTTGTCTAGGTTAATTAAGGTATCTGTTAATGTTTGGGAGTCAGAGATAGTTCCGTTATACCGATGTGGGTCATTGAGTATCCCACTTTATAAGAAAAAAGACAAGTCTTCCTGTGAAGATCATAAGGAGATTAATTTTACTGACATAGAATATTGTTCTAGGTTTAATATTCATACGTACACTAAGTGGGGATCAGGAGACAAAAACTTGAGCAGAACGAGTCGCATGTAGGCCAGAAAGGAGGATGCATTCATCTCATCTTCATTCTGGAACATAGTCGTGCTTACCACAGTCCAGTAGTTCCCATATTTCTTCACCTGAAGGTGGAATTCTACTACGTCGACACTAAGCTACTGTGGAAATTTTTGATTGTGAATGAAGTTCTGACAAAGTGTGTTGCACTGATGAAGGCAATCTAGTCGAACACACACACAATCAGGTTGGAGGAGATGGAAAGCTGTCATGTGAAGTGAAGACAACCAGTGGTGTCCTATAGGGGTGCTCAATTTTCACGTTCTTCCTTAGTCTCATCACAGATGTACTACTGCAAATGACCATAATTGACTTTGGTGATTTTGAGGTTGACTCGTTAACAGGATACAGTTTTGTTGGCTTAGACCATGAGGATGAAATCGTCCTCCTAGGTGAAGACATCGATAAAACTATGAGTGTCTGGACACCTTCAACAGAAATCTTCGAATGTATTTTGATTTGACAGTAGTAACTAGTGTGATGCGTCTAGTCCTCTCTTTGGTGCAGACTGAATTCTATCAGTCAGGTTGTAGTGTGGCCACCATTCTAGGTAGCTCGCCATCACGGTGTACATTGTTTGTGATGATTGCCTCCAACCATCTAATCGTCGAATGTTTAGCATGTGATTCTCTCCCGGTGAATGTACGATGACAGTACAGGACTGGAGTGCACCGGCGACTAGGTTAAAGATAGATATTGAAATGGTTAAACGTGTTGACCCTACCACTTCACTTATTTCGAATGTTGTTTTAGCCATAATGGAATGATTCCTGAAGAAATCTAAGCAATGATAGAAAAGGATCGTGTGTCATTTACCAGCTCGCATAATCTCTAGCGTTCACGTGGTACACAGTTATCAGTGAAAAGACGAGTTCACTACAAAGCAGTTGGTTCTCTCCTTCTTAATGGCTGACTGTCAGACATGGCCATTGACAGTCGTAGATATGATGAAGAGGCTAGCTGTCTTTGAGCACAGAGGTTTGCCTTCTATCTCTCGTGTTAGTTAAGAGTGGTATAATATGGTGACACATATTGAGGTTAGGCGTAGAGTCAGTGCTAGGTGAGGAAGGGGAGTCGATAGATGAAGTTGTCAGTCAAGCTGCACCGATTGACACGGCTAGGACACGTGTTGCGCATGACGAGCCACCTCACCGCCTGCCTTCTTCCACGAGCAATGTCACCTGACACAGGATTAGGTTGGAAAGAAGTTCTCGGTGGTCAAACCAAAACCTGGCATCAATCCATGCAGTCTTTCACTGTTGGTGTTTCAGTCACGTAGCCAGGTATAGACTGACTGGTTGGGGACCTCGCGATGATAAGTACCAATGTCTGCAGACTATTGGTGCTATGACTGAAAATCCTTCTCGATGGCTCAGATGCATTCACGCTTTGTCATCTCCCATTTACACTGAACCCTCGTGTCTTCCCATCTTACTATTCCCTCTCGCCTACATTTCTGCTCATTAGAGTTCCTTTGAATTTCTTCCTTCTCTCTACTCTCTACCTTTGTGTGATACATGCAGTGTGTCAACTTGAATTGCTGCACTTCTCTGCAAACTTCTATGCTGAAACTCAAACGGTCATTCATTCAGGCATTGATTCATTCATTCATTCATTCATTCAGTCAGTCAGTCAGTCAGTCATTCAGGCCAGCCTGCCACTCAGTCAGGCAGTCAGCACTGCTCAAACAGAAGTAGTCAACAGTTTGAATGAAGTGTGGCCAGCGTCATTCATGCATAGCTATCTCACGTGTTATTGAATAAATCCGCCTCTCTATCTAGAAATCTTCACTCTGAACAAAGTAACAATATAATGCAATATTACCCCCCATCAACTAACTTCTCTGAAAGAAGAATACGGTGCTACTGATTTGACGAGCATCGCTTAGTATCATTGATACGAATATGACACATCTATGCTGTAACCCACTCATCAACTGACTCACACAAACTTCTTGCCTGTCTACTCGGTCTCGAATTACAACGTGAAGCGAAAGTTGAAAATACAGTCTTCCTACCAGTTACATAAGTCAATTTAATTATCTAATCAGTGATAAGTGATACAACCATGATGACGTTCTCCCTACAGTGATCTGTCTATATTTGATAAGCCCTAATCGACTGATTTCCGACGGAATCTCAACACGGATACAAAAGGCTGGTGTGGCATTCGACAACGTACGTCATACAAAGCCGAAATAGACAGTTGTGTATCTATGCTTTCTGATGGCAACTTTGCGAGAGAACACAGAGTTAGCTTTTAAAAACATACGTGGTCAGAATACTAGTTAAAATTATAGAAATCACTTTAGCTGGAATTTTATAAATTCTAAGGCTAAAATCACACTATTTGATCCAGGTCTACATTTGATCTAATTAAAAGGTTTTGAAATGTTCTCCTCGTCCGAAGTGAACCGCCCATTTCTTTACTCGTACAAGAGAAACAAATACTTAATATTATGCAACAGGAAATTCTGTGAACTTAGAAGCTGGAAATGTCTTTATGTACAAATTAAGCGAAACTGTACACAGCAATAACCAGTATTTTGAAGCCGACATTGAGATTAGTTGTTAAGGCATAGGATTTATCAGATTCTTCTTCGAATTCGAAAATACTTAACCGCCTAGTTCACAAAGATTTAAATTATTTCCATAAGAAGTTTTTTCCACCACATTTCATAGATAAATGACAACATGTGGATGATGATCCAGCTTGTAGTATGATATTTTACATACCTGAAACATTACCACCTATATTCTGTTAATATAGTCGTCATGCAGTGGAAGCTGTGGCAATAAGTTCGACGAAGCTGTGACTGTCCACTGCCTGAGATTCACTATTATTTTTCTACCCACAGTTCTTTTCTTTTTCCTCGAAACAATATTGCTCAAAATGCGTGATAACTTATGTTCTTTATTCTAAACATTTTCAAACATTTTATCAAATTTTTACATACAAATTGCCATTAGCAAGTTGTTCATCATATATATACTACTAGTAACACTAATCGTCTTTACATGATTCCATTTCATTTATTTCATAAATTCATCATTTCATAACGAACTTTTCACTCCAGTTTTACTGTCATCTGTTGATGACATCAAATCTTCGTACTAACCACTCTCGAAACACAATTCACAACGTAAAACTCCATGTATGAATCTATTATACCTAATCATTATCCATCTGAAACTGTTATTAAACGGTAGCACCCTATTTCCTACTTGCAATCAACCCACCGAGTTTGAGGTAAAAATACTATTTATCCTGTTATTCTACAGTCTTCCCTGGGTAAAATAATTATTCTTCATATCCCTTGCTACCTTTAGAATGATAACAAACGTTACTTCAAAACTTTAGGAATTCATTGAAAAGAATATTTCTCATTCACACTGACTGTTAATTCATGAGTGCGAGTATATTTCAAACTCTAAAATCGTTTTATATAGACGCCTTGAGTAGATGTACCATAAAATCTATGCGACCAACTGATAAAAGTTAGTGTACGTATGTTGAGTCGTAAGGACGCAAGCATAATTTCTTACAGTACTAAAATAACTAATATTCATTATCAAAAAAGCATTTTGTGCATAATGTGTAGTTCCCTAATTATTTTATGAACACAGGTCACTGAACATGATATGCAGTCAGACGAGATATGGAAAGTGAATGCTCTTACTTTCTTCTTCTTATCATGAAAAGCTTATGGCAATATACTATCTGTTTTTATCAGTGATTTCTCTGTACAATAACTGGAAGAGAAATGTTTACAACTGACTTTCGATTTTTAATCTGTCAGTATTTCCGAACATAGGAAAGGTCGACAAAATTAGCATGCAAGAAGACAACTACACTTACATGCATGATATTGTAGGCGAAGCCATTTTCTCATTGTTGCTTACATGTAATTTTTTTCCTTCACAATTTAATTGTATGCATGTGTGCAACTGCAGAAAAGCTGCTTAACCTAGAGGAATGGAATAGTGAGGTCAGTAGTATCTGACAATCACAGAAACCTATTCGTGCCCACTAGAATAGAATATACGAAAAGTAACTTCATCTGCAGGTTGTTCTCGTTACAAGAATGCATTATTGTTTATAGTCACACAAGGCAGCTCGGCAACACTGAAACATCGGATGTGAGACACGACTATTCCCTCCTTTTTGTTTAACCACAATCAGTTAAAATTTTTCCCAGAAAATCATCACAAAGTTTTAAGTAAACTTCTCTCTATTTAATGATTTATAGAGCGCTGAAATAGAAAAATAGTGGATTTAACTTAGTGAATTTAATAAAGGCTGTTATTGAACTAGGACAATAAAAGGAGAAGAATACGATTTGTAAAGATAAGATGTAATAAAGTATGTTTGTTTTTCATTGCAGATAAATGGAATTCAAGTTCACCTGTGAATACGTAATAAGTTACATTCATAATGTTTAGACTGTAAATCTGGATTCCGAAAGATCAATGCAATATTTTCCATTGCAAATCCTTGATGCATATTTACTGTTCCAGATCAGCATCTGTTATAAATTCACCCTTGTATTGTGAATGACGAATACCAAATGAGAATTGTGGTGCGGACCTTGAAGTTGCATTTACCTGAACACAAAAAAATTGTGATACTAATCAAGTAGACGATGAAACTTTTTAGACGGAACGTATAAACCATTAGAGAAAGTATGATTTAGGGCATCTAGATTTACAAGGGCTTATTGACATAAAAGTCCTTATTGTAAAGATATACCAAAATAGTAATTAACCGAATTCGAGCGATATATGCTACCTAATTCACAACGCTAAGAAAAGTGAAAGCCATCATTACTTACTTCAGAATAGATAGATATTTGTATACATGTTATGAAGGTTTACTTAAGAACCACACTATAATGTACATCAGTTAAAGTATTACAAGATAAAGGGCACTATGTTACTTAGAAAAATGAACAAATGACATTCTATGAAGGATTGAGAAAATAAGAAAGCAAAGTTCGTTGCTGAACTGAATTGCAAGCTAATCTGTAGGGTGGTTTGGTGCAGAAACAATTAACCGTTAATAAATCATGCCATGAAGATATTTCAGACTTGCATTTCACTTGGAACAAGTAATACTAAGGCTCTTTACAATACCTATTCCTCATGTCATACACTCTATTGTTGGTGACGCTGTCATTTTGTCATCAAAATTTCATTAATTCCTTACAAGGTTCAACAAGTATCTGTAGTAATTAAACGACATAATCATGAGAACCACGTATACATTTTCGAAAATAAATTGTCTTTAGTTGATAATACAGTCGATGCCTCAATTAACCTGAACTACTTTCCCTAATAGTTGCACATGTAGCTTCTGAATCCAAGTAATCCAGGTAATTCGAGCACCCTTATTATGTTTACTAAGCAGATGAAAGTCAAACCTAAAGAGTAGGTTCTTATCCTATTTAGAAATAGGAATTTTCCTAACCCATCATAATCAGCTAGTCAAGTTAACAATTAAATTAATAATCAGTCAGTTTTTAGTGAGCCTCATGGTGTTGTAAACTAAATGTATTTCACTTAAGCCAATTTAACAAAAAAGGTGGATTGGTGGGTGTAATTTGCTTATTTATTCTATTTAGATGAAAAAATTTGCACACGGTTGTTTTTGTAATTCGCTGTTTGCTTTTTTCTGATAAATCACTTTCTCAAACAACGAAAACTGCTTCTTGAAGAGAAAAATTAACAGTTACTTAGTAGTTGGAATGCTTTTTGATGAAACTTCTACCCAGTGTTGCTTTCTTATGGACTTGTGTGTCTAGCCACTTTAAAAAGGCTTTAGCTGTATTACCGTGTATCTGATTATCTTATAATGAGATATACTAAATTTCAGTTCAAACAATAATTTTGGGTACTGGCAGTAACTGCTACAATCGAGAAATCGTGTCAATAGTTTCATTCCCTTTTGTATGTTTCGAAGAAATAGTAGGATTTCCGCCTAACTGGATGTAAAATCTGTCCAATATACCCACCGCTACATTAGGATGAACATCATATGAATAAAAGTGGCGCTGTATAGTGATGTACTATGAAATAAACTGTTAGCCCATTCACTGACTGTTAACTGCATAAAATTAGTTTTCAAAAACATTCAGCAGCTTCAGATACCAATTGTTTTTTGACGAAACTGTACTATTAGTGTCAAAAAGAAAGTATAAATGCCACAGACTACATTCATAACTGTTTGGTAGCTTTTTAGTCATAAGATACACCACATACAATAATTCGGTATATTCATCGATTAATTATAAAGTAAACGCTTCTTCATGTTTGGTTATGACTATTATACAAAAGGTTATTCTACAAACGAAAAAAACACACTTAGTTCATAGACTGCATATTCACAGATACTCTTACACTTAACTTACTGTTACAACTAAAACAGTATTTAACGCAGTGACAAAATAGCACCAAAAACTTATGTATGATTGCAGCATACTCTTTGTACAAGTAGGGCTCCACATAAGAAGTGTAGTATGTGTTGAAGCCGAACTATATTTCTCAGCACTGTGGTGAAAAATGTAGTATGATATTTATGTGGTGACAGTATCGAAAAATCCCTCGAAATCCATCCTTAGGGAAAATTAAATAGTCAACAAACGTTACATTGAAGAAAATTTTAGTTCACTTGACACTTTGTTCATAAGAATTAATTTTAATGGCAGAGAAATCATAATGAAGTTATGTGACCTGATCATATAGACTGTTTGCATAACCCGTTATTTCGTTAGTGCGGACATAAGATGCGAATAAACTTATATGCCAGCGAGACTTTAAACAGAGTAATACAACAAACTATGTGCCTTGAGTGCACTACTCCTACTTCTATGAAATGATCTTAAGATGTTACAAACCATCTGTAACTCTCGCACAAAAAGGATAAATAGCAAATGCATTACAACTTTGTACAGATATAATTAAGCTCAAACAGTCACACTTCTAAGACATGAACACTAAAAACTAACATAAGGTCGACGATACTATAGTGGACGTAGATGTTTAGAGAAAAACTAATTTAATGGAGAGTTGTGAATGTGTCAAAAAAATAGGTAATACATTGTAAACGAATCTCTCTAACCGTGATCAATGAATTACGCAGTCATAAGCAATATTCAGATAATATCCAAACTACACTCACGCTACTAATATAAAATAGACATGTTTTTCGATTTAGAACATTAGACTAAAAACACTGCTGAAAATATCAATTACCTTTAGAGATAGTGCCGACGACTGAAACTTGTGAGGGTAGTTACCTTTGTTGCATTCATCGACTGCCAGAGCTCTCCTTCGGTGCTTTTATTGTACGACATATAAGGGTTGTGCTCCAGGAATATTAATAAAGTCACTGTATGCGATTGTTTCTTGAAAACAATGACAGCAAGTGGTCACTAAGGACCACTCGTTCTATATTTAATTTGATTGCCTGTTAGTTTAAATATTAGTGAAACCTTATTATTGAGCAGGCTCAGTCTATGATACCGTCAAAATTTCAACCAAAGTATAAGGTTATAGATGCTTTATAGTTCCTACTTTAAGACTGATCAAAATAAAATGAGGCCCTACTAAAAACGATTCAGCACTGTGTTTGTGGTAGAGTTAAAGCGATTATCCAGAAAATCGGAAAATGTTTGCCAAATAAAAACCACCGTGGTTAGTTAAATAGTCGTAAGTAAGACTTACAACAAACCTCAAGACTCTTAAAATATCCCAACTAGTAATAGGTAGTCATCACTTCAAAGTCACTTTAAAAATGGATACAACAGTTCCAAATAATTGAAATAGGTGGATTGCGATATAGTAACTACCTGAAGCATGACACAGTCTTATTAAGGTAATAACGCTTTAATCGACGACATAGGTCACCAAGTTGATGCACATAAGATCTTAGAATTAAGTACTTGAACACTCTTACTGATATTTTACAAAGTCTTCAACAAAAATTTTATCACATTTATTTATTTCCCTCCTCTAATTATTAAACATTTGCTGACTGTCAATAGATTCGTCCACCTGCCTGTTCTACCTTTGATACGTATTCTTTTCCTTCTTGTTCCAGAGTCTCCTACATAAACTATAAGATACAGGGTTATTCGTTGTGTTTGATCTCGTTGATTAATCTCAAATAATGTCTGAATAATACACAGTGTCAGGTTTTTAAAAATTAAAATGAATATATTCAAGCCTATGCAGAATAAAGTGTTTACATATGGGATAATTCCAGGGTTATCAAGTTTTCTGAGTATCCATAATGAATAAAAATACAGTATTTGTAATTAAAATAATTAAACACATTACAAACCTCTTAGTAAGATATCATTCAGATATGTAGCGTTCAGTGCATACACATACGACGAAAATATGTCACAAGAAATGTTTATGCTTGCTGACTGCTTGTAGTTTGCACTTACTTGACCACAAATACTTGGAACAACCACTAAATATTTTTTGAGCGACCATAAAATCTTGAAATTCGTCCATGTATTTTATTATGCAGTAAGTAACGTCTAACTCTGATAACTGTGTGCTTTGAGATAAACAAGCAGTCACTAAAAAATTCTTTTGTGTTGAATCCTGCACGAAGTAACAAGCATAAATAGGCAACCGCATCCTCTAACTAACAGATGGATCAAAGGAACTACAGTTGTCAGCCAAACAAAGTCATGGACACAAAATTAGTGATGTATTTATCGATAAATGTTGTTAACTAACTTTCTAAACTAGAAGAGATAGTTTAAAAATATGAGTGAATAAAGGTTGCATGTATGCAGCAACAACAGTACTGTACAGCATTGTATCGGCAGGTTTTCGAAGTTAATTTACGAATGAATTTTGGTAAGTAATAAGGTTCTTATAAAGAAAGTGTAATTCACTTCCAGTCAAATGAGGATACACAATTAAAACCGCACTGTCTTTAGTGATAACCCTTATTTGTTAAAATAACCTTGTTTTTTGTAGAGCTCACAAAACCATATGTCGATTTGTTAAGTTTTTATATATAACGAACACTGAAAACGTGAGAAAGAGTAAACGTACCTTTTCAGGATGATAGGCCCCAGGTCCAGGTTTTCTGGTTGAATCAGTTGGGAGCTGGTTTCTCCCCGTGACTGAATACTTAGGAGCCGCTTCATGATACAAATTGAGGTCAGTAACGTTATATGCGCCAGCACCAGGTGTCTGAAATAACTATTTTTCCTATCAATGGACTAACCTCAGCAGCACCAAAGAGTTTTGTTCTACTTGATAAAGAATAGGCAGGGGCTGACTGCTTTTGACTACGTACTGTTTTTCCAAGCATAGGGTCTACATTATATCTGTTGGGTCCTAAAAAGGTTGAATAAACACTACTATATTTACGAACCAGGAACATCGTCTGTTTTAAATTCTTTGTTTCGGGAGCTCAAGGAATATGCAGGGGCTTTATGAAAAACCGAATGATCACTATTTTCAGGGGTGTATGCTCCGGGCCCGGGATTGGAAAATATCATTGATTCCTTTTGTCTGCTGTAGAGGGAATAATGAGGTGTTCCATCCTTTCCGTCACGAAGAACCTTAGAGTCTGGATAATAGCATGGTCCAGGACTGCTTTCGTCACTAAACTTTCCGTGTCTGATGCCGAAAGACCATTGAGCCCCACGGAGATGATTAGAACGTGGATCATGATTTGCATAACCAACAAGGCCAGGTAGTGAATAACAAGGCCCTGGGCTACTATACATAGCCGCTATAGGACCCCGTGGCTTGGTATAGTTGTAAACCATTATGAAATGATAGATAAGAATGAGATGCCGATGATAAAATTGATGATTTATAACTTAATGAGAATTTAAAAGAATACAGGTTGTTATAGTACCTTCACACAACCTTATAATTTAGTATATAAAAACAAAATGTAACGTTGACACCCTTTAAAAGGAGAATATTATCATCCTCAAAGTTATCATCAAGTGACATCTTCTTGGAATGCTTTTCTCGTAAATTATCGTGAAATTACTTCAGCTGAATTTTCAAATGTGTGTAACAGTCTCCAGTGGTCCCACGATATTCATTAGGCTATCAGGAAGCACTAGTGCTGGTAGGCGCAGAAAAGTAAATCATCACAAAAAATCAAAATGCTTTAAGTTACTGTTCTAGTGAATGAATAGGTGCTTTTATATGGTGAAATACGAAATGACTGATTATACTGTCTGCATTAGGCTGTAATCACTATCTTGAGTGTCTCAGGCCATATAATATAAATCCATTGTAGATAAATAGACTCCTATGATCAGTAGTGGAAATAATTTAATTTGAGACGCATTTCACAGAACCATACACCGGTGATTTCGATTGTAAGATTAACAGAATATATTCCATTAGCTTCCTGTGGAGTGCAGTCATTCAATGACACTTATCAATATCAACTGTCTGAAAGTATCTGTAGAGTAACTGATACAGTTTTTGAATTGAATTTTCCAGATGTCGTAAAGCTAATCCTTGGATACGCTGCAATAACACGAAATATTCTACTCAGTTCTGATACATTTCTGCTGTGACTGCTTCAGCCTATGATCTTAAACTTCGAAACTTGAGCTACTTATACCATGGTGAAATTTCACAAAAAAAAGTTGATCAGATGTGATAAGGTACATGAAGCATAACCGATCAGGATATCATTAATCCATGTCATGATTAAATTATCATAGATGGTCATTTGACACTAATTCAGGATTCCAAATTTGTTACGGTTAAAATTGTCACTGAATGAGAAAAATGTTAGTTGATTATGAACTTGACCACTATGAAGAGGGTTTTAAGATTCACAAAACGATACTGCAAGAGTTGTAATAGTGAATTAATTGTCAAACACAATAGGCAACAATTAGGGAAGAGATTAGAACCTTAGTGGAATGAGAGACCGGACAAATATTTTATGCACACAGAGTTAAGTATTGAACTGATGATTCTCCATAATCAAATGTCCGAGGCAAACCCCCCTTTTACCATTCAGTCTCACCCTGTAGAAAACGTTAAACCTGAACTCAATGTGGAGAAAAATTTTGTCCAGTCTCTTATTCCACAGCAGTTTGAATCTTTTTAGTAATCGTACGCCTTTTTATTTAATGACTAATTCAATATTACCATTCCTTAAGAATGTTTCTATATATTTTCCATTTCAACAGTGCTCAAGTGGCAACTCGAATTTCTTTTCTTTATTTGTCAGCGGTCTGTTTGAACAAAAACTTCCTTAACTCTCACCCACATATTAAATCTAACTTACCGTTTTTCGTTTGAATTTATTTATCGAAGAATGATAGCAAATCACATTATTCACTCTCGTGAATCTTCAAAACGTGTAAGACAAGTGAATTTCAGTTTTTCAACGAAATTAAGGAAAAGCATCACGGTGATTGACAACGAAGACTAAAACGTAGACCTATACACCGTACTACCGTTCCTCTTATCATTGGTTCAAACCGCCGTTCTATACCCATAAGATTATCTATCTGCAGTCTCTTTCATTTTCTGATACTTATCACAGTACGGCCATAATCACACTACAATACACTTGGCTTCACGAGCTATATGATGACAGACCCGTCTCACTTAATAGCTTCTCATTATTTAAAAAACTATCCGGGTTTCGATCCCCTGCCAACACACATCTGATATCAATTAGTCAGCCTGCAAAATTTGGGCTACTGATACCACATGCTGAAAATTCCATACTTGTACCAAAAATACAGTGTGGAATGAAGCTATAATCAAAAAATTTATTGAGAAATAAATGTCTTTCCAAAATCTTTTTAAAGTATAAACATATATCTTTCTCAAACATTCACGTTCCGCTGGTTTCCCCTCTCGTATCTGTCTAATTTTGGGAATGAATTTATCGTTTTGACTGCTTCTAATCTTGATAACTCTTTATAATCAAACACTTGTGGTTTTAATTCCTTAGACTATTCTTTTCTTGCATCACTGGTTCATAAAAACACTGTCAAATTTGCTACTAAACTTCACAAAATATTTAGTTTAGTGTTCACTAATGACAGTGGAGTGTATGAAGCACACAAACGTGCCCCAACAATGAATTCTGGTCATTGTGTTATTCCACTTTTGCCTAAAATATGTGGAAGTCGTGCACACATGTCTTTTCCCACTACTCCTTGAAGACTTAACAGAGACGCCACTCACAGGACAATTTACATAGACATTATCCGCGGACTGTTTACTGATCACACGTTGTGTTACGTCTAAGCTGCACCCTCATAGAATAAACTTGCACTTTACATACCATTTTGCATTTTATGTTAAGCTAGACAGCCTTTAACCCATCGGACTGTTTTACAGTTCTGTTTGAATTCACATTTTGTTAGTTGCTAGGCATTTTACATATAACTATTGCGTTCTTGATGTGTTTTTTTATTTTTTATTTTTCATTACAGCTTGATACCACACCGTATTTTCAGTACAAGTATGGAACTTTCAGCATGGATATCGGTAGCCCAAATTTTGCAGACCGACCATGGATATCGGGTGTGCGTTGGCAGGGGATCGAACCCTGGACCATGTGCATGGTCGGCGAGAGTCCTAACCGCTGTGCCACCGACGCACTAGCCAGCTCCTCGACCGGGAATCGAACCCGGGCCTTCCACGTGACAGGCGGAGATACTCACCACTATATGGACGCCACATAACCTCATATTTGAAGGTTTGTAGGACGTTTACCTGATGCATCTCATCTAATAGGATAATGATCTTTCAGCTATTCAGCATTCTGCAGTCAATATGATTCAATTCAGAACCATTTGGTTTTAATTTTTATCTGGTAAAGTTTGTTTTGAACCATTTGATTTCGTGTCGGTCTTGGTAAAAGACTGCCAGACCATTCCCCCAAAGGTTACTCTTGCAGTTCCTCTAAGACAGTGTATGACAGTTATCATTATAAGTGATTATTTTAAATTCTGACTCTACGTTTTTTGACCGAAACGGGCACTATGCGGAATACTTGATCGTTTCTTTCGTTCCTCATCTCGAATACTTATTTACAGAATAACAGTGTTTATACAAGTCTAGAGATAAATCTGATCCAAAGAGGATTACCATTTTGATCAAATCTAGAATCTGAAGACGGAACACTATTTATAACCAGAGACTTTCGTCAAATGAAACTCCTGCGAACATTTGGAAACATTTATTCAAATAAATGGCAGTGGTAAGCAAAAAATTATTAATAATAATAGTGTATTCTAATTTTTTACATGAGGGACGCCAGTTTACAGGCATCATCAATATGATAAATTACATATACGATTAGTAAGCATATTTAATAATAGTAATTTAATAAAATAATTTTTTCCTACCTGTGTAGGACACACCAATTGTACAGGCATGGATAAGTATTATTTAAATTACATAAATTTGGTTCATGGTAAAATTATAAGGTTGCAGTCATTTTGTCTATGGGAACAATATGATAACTAGTCATTCAATGGAACACATCAAGAAATATGGAAATATTGTCTTCGCATTAACAAAAAAACCCAAGTATGTTTTGGATGGACTACAAATACTTGGGAAAAAAATAAAGCTTGAAGTAATTCCTCCATATAACTTTGGTGTGTACGGCATCGAGTCTTATTCTTGATTTATATCCAAATTTGATAATAATTTAAAATAAGTAATACACTTGTATACTTTTGTCAACATTTTCTTCGTAACATCACAAGTGAATAGTACTCAAGGTAGACTAATAATAATGACAGTCTGTATTTTCCTATAAACGGGTGTTTTCAAGAAAGGCAAGCTATTTTTGCAGACATGATCAGTTATGTTGTAAGTTACAATCGTGAAGTATTATAAATCAATACTTTTTTATTGGTATAAAGATATATTTCACAACTGTAATCCAGGTTGCGTCGTTGGTGAAGGCAATGTGCAATTGACGAGGGAATTGTAAGATATGGGATCAACAATGTTTGCAGATCATTTGCCATTGTAAATGGTCAAATATCTACGTTCTTCATTCTCATTCAAAAAGTCAAATAGAAGCTGAAATGGTGAGAGACAAAAAAAGACAAACAACAACAACGCAAAAGAAAGCAAGTGGAGTACTTAGGAAGTGATTAATATGTATATATACATTTATATTCTGTTTAGTAATTATAGTTATTTTGGTGCACTAACTAACTATTCCCGTGATGCTAACTTTTATATTGTGTGAACTAATATTATTGTCCTGTGTAAAAATGTCTATCATGTACTTCCAATAATATAAAATTTATAATTGTAATTTGATGTAACTACACGTTTAATGAACTTAAAATATTTATGTTGGACGAAAAAGTGGGTGTAGGATTCAGACGCAGAAGTGCACTGTCATCTTTGAGCAGTCTGGTGACTGAGGAGATGAACACTGAGAGTGTGTTTGCATCGCGCACACCAGCTGGTAGTCTATTCCAAATGACTGAAAACTTATTTAAGAAGAAATTATACCGCATGTAAGTCTGACAATGCTCTATAGCAACTAGGTTGTGATGATTTCTAAGATTTTAACTGATGACAGCGGTAGGTTTGATTATTGGCTCGGAGGAGTGCACGAGCAGATTAGTTAGCTTGTAGTATAAAATAAGGTTTAGCTTAAGAGGTCTTTTCCAGACTGGTTCTAAACTCAGTCTGTTGCAACGTTCGGAGTATTCAAGACTACATTCTAAACCCAGAGTTCTTGAGATAGATTGCCGTTGCACATCCTCTAGTTTAAGCTTTTCATTCTCTCGCAGTCCGCTAAGAATAAACCGGCAGTATTCTAAAATAGGTCGGACACATACTTTGTATAATAGAACCCTAGTTTCACAACAAAAGAAATTGCGAGTTATGCATCCTAG